ATTGAGCAGCAGTTAATGAACCGAACACGAGAAGCTGCTCAAAATATGAGCCCGGACTCAAAGTGATTGGGACACAAATATGTTTGGAGTGAAACTGACAGGACTTCTCGTCTTGGGAACACTTGTGTTTTAACAACAGAATTGTATTTTATTTGATCAATAATGTTGATCAATGATACATAACCTTCAACCGGTGGTTTTGGATGACAGTTGTGACCTATTTAGGTACATCACTCATTTGCCGCACAAAGATGGCAGCACTCGGGGGGCTGTTTTGTCGCAGCACTGTTGCCATCCTCAAAACATTGTTGCCATCCTTCTGATCTAGTTTTTTTTGCAAATATCTGAGTTTTTAATAACATTTCGGTACTCGCAACACACCCCCAGACAACACCTCCAAGCAACGACGCCAATTTTGAATCACCCTGCATAAAAAAGGCCTTAAAAATACCTCAGTTTCTTGCAACTTCTTCCTGGACTTCGGCTTTCGTTCGCTTTTCTCGCGATTTTTCCGCGACGCTTTGCTTCCCTTTGATTTCACCGTGCTTTGGGTGGTGGTGCTGCCGAAAAGGCCCCGATTCTCCGCCATTTGAATCATGTACTTGTCGTCCAGTCGAATGATCTCCTGCCGAATTGGGAAATTTGTGCCAACTGAGCCCGACTCGACATTATACTACCTTTCGTTGGATCAGCGATAGGAAGCAACCCTCCTTCCGGAAGTTTATGCAGGAATTTTCGTTGGGGCACAAGTTCGGCAAGTCTGGAGTGGTGAAAATATCGGTGTCGGGCACCTGCAGTGTGAGGAAAGTCAACCCAATTGCCTCGCAAGCTTTCATGAACCAACCTGAACACTATCCAGGAGTTTTTCTTTGGAATCCATCACCAATTTACCGGAAAGGGAGAGGGACTCCATTGAGTTCTCTTTCGCCATATCGGCCTGTTCGCCCGCCTCGCTAACGAGCCTGTTTTCACTCGGCTGCGACTCGATAGTTTCCTGAAAACCCACACTTTAATCTTATCTCTTAGTCTAGAAACACATAGTATAAATAATACAGAATACTTAAATACTGAACTTATACTCAAAATAGGGATACACACTCATAATAAATAAAATAAAGTTAAATTAGAAAGAAAAGGAAAA